TTATATGGGGGGGGTTTTGGGGGGGGGGTGTTTGTTTTTTTTAGTGTGCATCTGGCAAAGAAGGGAGAAATACTTGAGTGAAAAAAGCCTTAATGGCAGATCATTATAGAAAAGTAAAACTCTCAAGGCTATGTAAATAAACCAGATAAGCTGTCTTAAACCACTTTAGGAATCTTGGCATATGCAAATGTATCAAATATGAAAAAGGAAAGATAACAACAATTTGATTTTACTCTAGATCTTCCAAATTTCACGTTTATTGTTGTAATATTTAGCTGGCCTAACATAATTGTATTGTTTAACTTTCATCTCTGCAGAAGAGACCAGAGAAAGCCCTAATTTGAAGTTAGGGCTGACTTCCTTTTATTGTCTGGAAAGACAAGCGTCTCCTTTCCATAAACGTAATCAAGGAAGACGGTTGTCTGTCTGTCTCTGTCCCTCCAAAAAGCCAGATTTATTAAATCCATCTAAATTTCTAGTTATCTAGTACTGTTTCTTGATATTGGTTCCTTCACTTGTTAGCAGCTTGAAATGCCTAATTATATACAAGTAGGCAAGCAGAAATTTGCAAATAGTAAAGATTTTTTTTGCTTTGGCTGGTATAAGGGATATAGCTGTAGATAGCATATCATAACCAGGTTATATTTGGGATCCCAAGTTGCTGTTACAGAGTTGGGGGACTTTGGGTTGGGTGTTCTTAGGTTGCTATAACTTTGTGCCAGAGAAGGAGTCTGGTTCAGAATCATCCCAGTATTTAATTTAGTGGCAGTTTTTAATTCTTTGCAGAAAACCTAGTCATTTGACTCATAGGAACAAGGAGATCCCACAGCTTCTTGGTGAGCTTGCATTACTCTAAAAAATGCATAGCTTTAAAAGATCTGGGTAGTCTCTTCTGTTCCTGTTTGTGCCTGTAGTTCTTCCATTTTGGCATGTTGGATTTTTCCTGTTGTGAATAATTTCACAGGTGTCTAATCCATAGCAATGTGTTTATCCCGTTGATTTTCCAGTAACTTAACATTTCCTTCTCATTTCATTTTGTAACTTTTCCATATACTAGTGAAGTTCATTTAAAGTAGTGAGGTACTAAAATTAAGGAAAGCTTTTTTATTTTAATGTATTAATAAGCTGGAAAAAAAAGATTTTGTGGCTTTTGGAGCTGATTCAGACCCAACATCAATGAGTCCTTGTAACCAGGCTTCATCAGTACTATTGTAAGCCTCTTATGATCTGTGATCACAAAAGATGCAAGCATTAGCTGCCAAAATGAGAGAGCTGACCATGGATTGGGAATATAAAATTTACTGGGTTCAAAGATTAAATAATAAAGAGACTGTATATGCAAATGTCGTATCATCTTATGAAGCACAGTGGCAAAGGAGGACAAGGATGATTTAGTCAACTCTTAAATACTCAGCCTGACAGATCTTGTTAAAGGGTTGTAATAAGCTGTCATGTTGCCCTGCTGAAAAGAAAGCATGGCTGTGCTTAAGTGAAATGGTAGATTTTCAGTAACCATACCTTTGTAGTAGAATTTGATTCAGTCTTATGAAATTTTGCAGTTGAAACTAATTTTTCTTATGTGAGACCTCCTGGAATTTTGCAGAGTTGTTCAACCACATCAACAGCAGTTGTTTGATGAAGAAGAGTTACCAGCAAGTGAGACGGAAGAGCAGCCTGGTCCATCCAAACGGAAACGCCAGCCAAGTATGTCTGAAACAATGCCACTGTACACACTATGTAAAGAGGATTTAGAGAGTATGGACAAAGAGGTGAGCTAACATAATTGTGCCAGGATTCTAATTTTATGGTTGAGTTGCTCAGTTATCTGTAACAGTATTTAATATTGTTAATTGACGTGTATGTTATCTGATTTTGCATGCAACTAGGTGATAGTGAAAGACAAGCTTCTTTAATATGAAACGGAACCATTTTTGGTCTGCTAAGTTTCTATCCAACATGCCATTATGCAAACTTAAATGAAACCATGCTAAATACTCCTTTGTGCAAGTAGACGTATAAAACAGTGCGGCAGAGGAAATTTAGGTTGGCAGTTAGGAAGAACTTTTGACTATGAGGATGGTCAGGGATAGGAAAAAGCTACCTAGAGAAGTTGAGGAATCTTCATCCTCAGACATTTTCAAGAGCATGTTAGGCAGACACTTGGCTGGAATGGTTTAGTCAGAGGTGAACCTACCTTGAGCAGGGGGCTGGACTAGATTATCTCATAAGGTCCCTTCTAGCCCTGCTTTCCTATGGTTTTGTAGTATTGATATAATTTTGACACAAATGCATGAAATCTGAAAGATGCATGAAAGAAATGCATGAAATCTGAAAGATGATACAGGCTAGTAGTGTAAATACTGTTGTCAACTTGCTTGAAGTTTTATGTAGACCTGTAAAACACTGATATTTTTACTATTTATATTAATACATGCTCTTTTAGAATGACCTCTAGCTTTTTCAACCTTTTATAATTTACATTAAATAATGCCTACCTAAAGGAGATTTGGCTGCAGGAAAGGTATCATGTTTCAGGAAGAGTTGCATATATTTTGTTTCCTTAAATGTTAAGGGTAAAATTAATTCTAAAATTTGATACCTCGTTTGAACTAAGGATGGAAGTTGGTGGTCTTTGGAAGTTGGGTGGGGAAAACACTTTGTAAATGTGCCTTAAGATACTTACTTCAGAGACTTGTTGGAGGGAGCAGTGAATTATAAATATTGACGACAGTTAATCTACATTTAGTTAAGTGCTAGATTTAGTTTGTCATCTAATTTCTGTTTAGATGTTACTGTATGTATTCTAGTTTGGGCTTAATTTCTTGAATTTCCATTTTTGTGCGTTTGCTGATTACTATGTAGAATGGATATCCTCAAAGTGTCATTTCATTAAGTTATTACATTAATTAGGAAATAAAATAACTACCATTACAGTTGCATATTGAATTTTCCAGGTAAGGATTTTGTTAGAATTTAAGGTGTCAAGACTTGATCTAAAGATCATAATTCATGAAAAGTGCTGAGAGAAACACTACTTCTGACTTAACATTTTTCATATTCTTGTGTTTGTATCACAAAGTGATCCATAATCATATTGCATTAGGTAGCTTTTTTGCCATAGTAACTGGGACTTGTATTTTCAATTCTGGTCGTGGGGTCAGATGATGACTTTCTAGAGATGGATGTCATTTTCCATGACGCTTGGGCAGTAGTCTGTCACTAGTCTGTTTTATCTTCCAATCCAATATGTAAAATGAATCATTTCAGTACATCTCATTTGTTTACTGGTTCTTCCAAGGGTTCAGTATCTTTTAATTTGTAGTACCATATCACCTAGGAACCCTCCTCATGGACCCGAAATCCCATTGTGTCAAGGTACTGTATAGACACATAACAAAGACCATCCTTGTTTCAAAGATGCTTTTACATTCTTAATTAAAAAAAAAACAAAAAAAAAACAAGGCAACCAAATAGATGCAAACACATGGGGGCTTTGAGGGAGGCGGCAAGGCATTGTTGGTTTAATGCAATAGGCTATGGTCTCAGCATTATCAGCAGTTGGGTTGTTGCCATTGTCGCAGAAAAACAACATTGATATTGGGTGGTTTTAAAAGAGAGTAATATACAAGTTATTTCTGTGTTTACATGTGTGAAAAGCACAATGAGAGAGTATGAAGGTACTCAAACAAGCATTTAGCAAGTGAACATGGAAAATGCCAAGCGGGAAATTGGCATCCTGGTAGTGAAGGAGAGATGGCAGATCAGATGAGAATGGATCTGCAGGAACATGAAAGTGAAGAAAAGGGTGGGTTGGCTGGTTGGTTGGTTGTTTTATCCTTCAGCAGATTGTTTAAGAAGGCAACTTAAAAATTAGGTCAGATGAGAAGGAAGAAATAAAAGGTCACTTTGGATAGGAAGGTGCCAACGTTTCCTTTAAATGACTGTGATCGTACGTCAAATCACAATGAGCTGGTTATGCTCTTAAAAATAATGTGATTTGATGTATGATCAGAAGCATTTTAAGGAAACGTTGGCACTTACCTATCCAAAGTGGCCACTTATTTCTTCTTGTATTACTTAGTTCTTCAAGCCCATAGTATTCATAATGGATTTTCTGGGTTCAGAGTGATTTGATTTTTCTTTTTTTATGTACAGTTCTTTTCTCCAAATCAAATTGAATTTAGGGTTGAATTTGGAACTATGATTTTGTGAGGACTGCTGTAAAGGTATTGTAGTGGTTATTATGAACAATTTAAGTTGATTACACTGATAGGATAATATAAGGGAAATTGCTGTATAATTTTCTATAATGATTCAGACTCACTGGCTTAATGTCTGAAGGTTTTCAAGTGCCCTGAGATGACAGAAGTGCCTATAATTAACTCTGCCATGTTAAATTATGAAGTTGCAAGTTACAGACTAATTGAAAGTTTGAAACTAAAGTTTTTTCTTTTGTGGATTTTGTTTGTTTAGTTCTGAAATAATAAAATAAGATCTAGTGGTCTAGATGGTTTTACAAGTAAATAAGATTTTTTGCAATTTCCCCTTCAATGCCTTTGCTTACCTAACACAGCAATCATGGCATTGAAATGAGAGTAATTGGCTAAAAATGATTATCACGGTTTGAAACACATTTTTTTTTCTGTGCAGTTCTTTAGATTGTTCGTTTGTTTTTTCCATTTTTTTTAAATTACTTTTAGATTTTATTTGTTGCTTCTGAAAGGTCTCTGGCAGTAACAGAAGATGAATACTATTAAAAAAAATGTAAGAGATCTGTAAACATAACGATTCAAAACATTATAACATTAGTGTTCTGGGAAAGAGAAGATACTAATTTCCAAAAAATATTTATCCCTTGAAGAAAAATGTTTATAATTGCTGAACCAACAGCCTGTCTTTCAGGGTTATAAACTGCTGAAAACAAGAGCTTACCTGGCTCATCATTAAATAAGGACCAAAACAACGTGTTTGACTCATTTTCAAAGCCCTCCATGATGACAAGATAACTAAAGACCCTACTCTGTGTAATTGAGCCCTCCAGTGGTTTTTTTGATTAAAATAGTGGGACCTTTGGCTTCAAGAGTGAACTGAATGCTTTATTAATTGACCAGATACGTGGAATCTGGTCACAGAAGCGATTAAGATGAAATTGAATTTTAATGCCCTCCAAGTAAATGCAAAATACACCTCTTGAGAGTAGATGCTGGATTCTGATACAGAGAGAATTATGATCATGCAAAACAAGTAATAGTAATTTTACAACTGCAAGACCACTATGATGATTTAATCTGACCTTCTGTTTAACAGGTCACTGATTCTTGCCATGGAGGGATCTTTCAGTTCCTCTCAACTTTTTTTCCCCAGGAATCAGTGGTACCATTTTATTTTGATCAAAATAATCTTTCTAGCTCATACACAAGTGCAAAATGCAAATACAAAACAATTAGGCATGAAGAATGCCTTTAATGGGCAGCAAGTCTACTAGTCACATCTGTGGCTCATAATTGAAAGTACTGCTGCATATTAAGCTACAGTGATGCAGGATATCTCATGATTCTTTATTGTTCTTTGGGGCTATTTCAGGTAGCAAAAGGATAATCTGTCCAGGTACTCCTTGCCTGTCTATTGATCAACATAAGTAGCAGCTATGATGGTAGTTTGTCACGTGAATACTACCTCACTCAAAATCAATCTAAGGCCACCAATTTGCTTCACATAAGCCAGTAAGCAGCCTGCAAATAGTAACTTCAGATTATTACAAGCTTGGTTGGAATCATCTCCTGACCTTAAGCTCTGAAAGTCTACCTTGTCGTATTGCCAGTTCCAGGAACCATCTGTTCTTCTTTTTTGTTAATGAATCTTAAATTGGGATGGTATTGTTGGTTTGTTTACATCCTTATGCAGTAGCATCAGCTGTCAGTATTTCTTTTGGAAAAACATTAGTCAATTGGTGCTGCAGAGAGACTGCCAGAATACAAATACGATGTACATCATCCATTACTACTATAAAAAGTCAGTTGTTTTATTTAAAATTTTATTGACAGAATGCTGAGGGAATCCATGACAATTCAAAGAATGCTTCTTAGAATTTTTTTCTTTCTGGATTGTCTAGTGCACGAGTGGCTAGCCTGCAGCCTGAGTGCCACAAATGGCACAGGCAACCTAGCTGACTGGGGAGGGGATGCAGCAGCAGATGGGGTAGGGAGCAGAAAACAGAGCAGCCAATAAGGCAGGGGAAGGGAATGGGAGTGGCACACTGGGACAGTCCATGTCTAACTTGACATGCCTGCCAAAAAGGTTGGCCTCCTTTGAACTAGTTTTATATCTTGCTAAGAACCTAGGGCATGCTCTGCGGGTGCGGGAGGGGGCAGAGGACACTGTAATTAAAGCAGCTCTGAGAACCGCTTTAATTGAAGCGCCCTCGGCATCTCGTGTATTAGTGTCCCCACACTTCAGAATGGCAGTAGGGGCGCTTTAACAAAGCTCATTTGATGAGCTTTAGTTAAAAGTGCCCCCGCTGCTATTTTGAAGAGCAAGGGTGCTAATGCATGAGATATGGAGGCTGGCTGGAGCACGATAATTACCACGCTCCAACAAACTAGATTAATGGAGTCTGTTCCAATGTGCTGTAATTCCAGTCCATCAGAGCAGCCTCCCAGCTCATCTCAGCTATTGACACACCCCTGTTTCTTAATCATATACACTTGGAGCTGTTCTTCCTTTTAGCAACTTTGTATTACATTGCAGATTTTATGAGTAAATTATTTCA